TCTACCTAGCTATTTGTTTTTATACACATGGTCAGAGAATTAAGTGTGTGTAATGTTTCCACACACACAAATATATAACTGCGGTTGGCTGAAAAAAACCGCAACTTGCATAGGATGGATGAGGAAAGGGAGGAATAACAAGGCACATTTTGTATTAGCTAACAGGTTATTGTGAATGCAACTGATATCTGACACATCTCAGATACATTTACTCAAATTCTAGTGCTTTTTTTTTATATTTTCAGTAATTGTTTTCTACCAGAGAATTCTGTGTTTAACCTCTTAGGGTTTTTTTTTTCTTTTGATCCACGATTGGCCACATCCCATGATATATTAATTGAGTTTCAGGAGTCACGTGACCAAAAGAATTGAGTTGTACAATATACGTGTCTGTCTTGTACTGCACGGATAGTTTCATCTCTCATAGCCCAAATGGTCGGCAATATACGTGTCTGTCTTGTACTTAGTTTCATCTCTCATAGCCCAAATGGTCGCCGCTCAATCCATATATACTGGTGAAGAGATCTAGCTTTCCTGTCGTATGGTTGCTCCAGTATCCATTGTTCACGCACCAAATCACCAGAACTGATGATTGCTAAGCAAAATAACAAGCAATGAAAAGATTTTCAATGTCATCTTCTTCCGCTTCTCTTGTGCAAGCATGGCATGTTTTCCTTTGAAAGGATAATACTTCCCTATGCGGCCACATCAATTGCACCTGTTTTTGTTCTTGCTTCTCTCTCTGTGGGTTTATATTGAGCTCTAAATCGGGTGCTTTTGTGTTGCAGATATATTCCTTTGGGTGTTTGTCTTTCTTTTCTAGAGTTTTAGAGATACGGATTTATCTTGATTTTGAGGTGGTGATATATCATTTTTCTCGGTTTTATTCAGTTTTGTTTCCCCTTAATTTGTAGAGGGAGAGATAGCTTTATTAAGAGAGCTTGTAAGTTCGAATATTCCCTATATAACTCTCGCAACACAAGGGGATAATTGTGAACAAAATTAAAAATTAATTGAAATAAAACTATTCTTCAAAGCTACAATTATAATTTAATATTTTTTACTGCAAGAATCTTACGGAAGATGCTCTAACCTTGATTTTGTTATGCGCAAGGATTTTTTTAATCTATATTCACTAAAGCAACACACGGGTAATTATCTATTTTATTTTTTACATATGGCACGTTTAAATAAGAGTTTTTCCTTAAATAACCGTTAAGAAAAAAAAAAAAAAAAAGTTTGTGGCTGTGCATGAATTTTCTGAAACGTCCCATCTACCCGATATCATGTGCTGCTTCTATCTGCCTCTATACAAGTTGATAGCGACAGCCACGAACTTTCCCATTAATGTTCTGTCTCTTCGTGTTTTAGTAATTTTTTTAAGAATATTTTATATTTAAAAATTTATTAAAATAATATTTTTTATTATTAAAATTTAAAATTTATTTTGTACTTCAGTATTTAAAATAATTTAAAACAAAAATATAAAGAAATATAATTGTATCAGAAAATTAATACAGGGTAGAGCACATTGCGGTTTAAAAAAACAAAACAAGTTGCACCTTAAAGTGGCAAGAAAAATTAACAGGGCACGTGTGTTAATTACATACTTCTTGTCTGGTTAGCTGAAAACAAAATTGTAGTTTGGTGCATTGGCTTGACCAGAAACAGCAAGGTTGACTTGGCAATCCACGAGATCATCCAGCCTGCGCGCATAACACATGAAATATTTCTCAAAACTCTTTACCACAATGCTATCTCACTCGTTATGACATTCATATGGGATTAATTTGAGTTATTATCTCAGTATAATTTTCCAAGTATATATAAAAATATAAAGAAATATGATTCTCACATGTACTAAAAGGTTTTGTTATTTACTGCAGTAATGAACAATAAGATGTCATGAATCTTTTTTCACTTTGATTCTTGCAAAAATTAAAGATTTTATTTTTAGTTTCAAACTTAGTTATTTTTTTATCCTCTTGTTTCAGTATTTTTAATATAGAGTTATTTAAATCTTTTAAGCTTATTCGTGATTTTTAGAAGTTAACCATACTAACTCATATTATTTTTTATTTTAATTGATTTTTTAATATTTAATAAATAATAATGTAGTATCACTCTATTTCTTCATCCATTTCAAATAAATAATAATATAGTATCACTCTATTTCTTCATCCATTTCATGTTAAAAAAGAATCAAGCTGCTAGAATTTTAGGAAAATTAGACTAATAATTGCCATTTCCTTTTCGGGTAGTGATTTTCATCTTTCCATTCCATCACATTGGGCCTAGCCGGGCTGAGGTAGAAGTTATAACCTTAATCATTTCGAGTTATAATCACAGGCCCAAATCAGAGCCCGTTAGCAGAAATTAGCAAACTACTATACTATCAAACCCCACAATTAATTTTGGTTAATTTTAAATCGCACTCTCTCAGTCTCATACTACGACTCCCCTCCCTCTGCTCTCTCTTTTTTGGTTTGCTAAGCTGAACGATCTACAAAGAGGGAAACACAGCTTCAACTCACAGAGAAACACCAAAGCTAGAAGCTTTTGGCAATATAAAGGGAGAAGAAGTTGGGTTATAAACTGAGGGAGAGATGGTAGGGGCAGGGTCAGCGGTGGTGAACACGTACCCTTTATCGAGCTACACATTCGGTACTAAAGAACCCAAGATGGAGAAAGACACTTCTGTGGCGGATCGCCTTGCTCGCATGAAAGTCAAGTAAAAAGATAACAACCCTTTTGTGTTTTTTTTGCTTCTTTTGGAGTTTTGGTGGTTGAATTTTTGGAATTCCTTAAGAAAATCCTAGATAAACCCTAGATTTATTGGTTTCGTAAAACCCAACATGGAAAGTTTGATTCTTTGTTTTGTTATTGACAGTTATATGAAAGAGGGGATGAGGACCAGTGTTGAAGCTATTTTGCTGGTAATGTTTTTGTTTTATCTCCATTCCTTTTTAACTGGTTTTTGTTTTTGAAATGTGTTATAATTGTTAAATTTTATAAAATGAAGCTGTTTATGATTGTTTTTTGCAATTCTACTAGCTTTGATTGTGTTTGTAGTTTGTTAGTTTGAAAGGTTTGACTGTGTTTCTAGTGTTAGTAGTGTGAGAGTATAATCTTTGATTGTGTTTTGCAATTCTACTAGCTTTGATTGTGTTTGTAGTTTATTAGTTTGAAAGGTTTGATTGTATTTCTAGTGTTAGTGTGAGAACATAATCTTTGGTTCACTTGAAATGAAGACAAGAATTGTCCAGCCATTTTCTGTTAATGGTACTTATTCACAATGACCTCTCTATCTTTCTGATTACTGAACAATATATTTTCCCTTGTTTTCCTTGACGATTCAAGGTCCTTTCGAAAAAAAGAAAAGAAAAGAAGAAGAAGATAAATTTTGGGAATAATTTCTATAGATAAATGTTAGATTCATACCATGTGGAGCAAGTCATGCTGTTATAATTTGCCTCTAGGATAGCTCAATGTCTTAATTTTTGAAATACGTCTTCTATCCAATATCGATAAGAATTTCTTTGATGTAGATGCTTATGTCGTGTCATGTCTTCTTTTCAGTCTTTAATATCTGTTCTGTTTGCAATAGCAAGTTGTTGTTTCCTTGTCTTCTATATTATTCAATTTCTTCTCTGTGATCTTGTACTTATCGACCTTAATCACTCATGGCCTTGTCTGTGATAGCTCCGTACATCTTCTTTCTAATTATTATGATCTGTCTCTTGGTGCAATAAATTATCATCTTGCAGGTACAGGAACACAATCATCCTCACATACTTCTTCTGCAAATTGGAAACACATTCTGCAAACTTCCTGGTGGGCGTTTGAAGCCTGGAGAGAATGGTATATTTTTCCTCTTCTCTTTGTATTATCTTTCACTTTCGTAAGATATATCCCTTCATTATGTTTGTAGTGGAATGAGCTCTTTCTATATCACTGTTTGGGATATTTCTGTTTTATTCTGACCGGGCTTATGTAACAGAAATTGAGGGTTTGAAAAGAAAGCTGACGAGCAAGCTTGGAGCTAATTCACCTGCTCTTGTGCCAGACTGGCAGGTAACTTTTTTGGGCTATCTTCAGTTGTAAGTGTTAACTCATGAAGACAACTTTAAGGAACTGATACCTGTAGGTGTAAACTTAAGGAGAATATGATTGGATTCATGAAAAAAAATTAAAAAACTGCACAAAAAAAAAATGCATCTGTGGTGCATGTTTTTGACTAGTTGCATTTTCTTCCCTGCATTTCATGGGGATAGAACTTCTGCTAGGAACTTATCCTGGAAAAAATTGTTAATGCCTTGGAGGGCATCGTCCCCATGATTCTGTGTGCCCATAGATGCTTCTTGAGTTATTTTCTGATGCATATTTTGCCACATGTCATTTGCTTGCAGATTGGTGAATGTGTGGCTACCTGGTGGAGGCCAAACTTTGAAACCATTATGTATCCATATTGCCCTCCCCACATAACAAAGCCTAAGGTAACCAAACTATGAATATTCTTAGCTTACGTGGATCTTTCTTTTTTCTTTTTTCTCCATATGTTGTATATGCAATGCTCATCCATTTCTTTCTCCGGTCTTGGTAATGCAGGAGTGCAAGAAACTTTATCTTGTTCACTTATCTGAAAGGGAGTACTTTGCAGTGCCAAAAAATTTGAAACTGCTTGCTGTGCCATTGTTTGAACTCTATGATAATGTGCAGGTATGATCACGTGGATTTTTCATTGACTGAGTCTAGAGTTTGATCTGATTTTGCAATTGTCTGAGATGTTTTTATGGTTTTGAATGCTATATTTTCTTTGCTTCAACTAGTTTACGTGTAAAAAATGATTTTTTTTTAATCAAGGGGTAATGGTCCAACTAATTCAGAAACTGAGGCTTCAGCTTTGATGAGTTGTATGCATATAAAGAGTAATGTACTAGTCTGGTGAAGATGCATCGTGAAGATTTACCTAGGCAAACTTTATCCTGTGATTTTTTTTGTCCACCTTCCCCTTCCTCCACTTAGACACCGTTTGGGAACGCAGTGCAAACCATGTTCCCAAAAAATTCAATTTTTTTTTTTGCTAAAATTTAATATGTTTTTGATCGTTTTGATGTGCTAATGTCAAAAATAAATTTTAAAAAATGCAAAAACATTATTATCATGCATTCTGGCATGAAAAGTTATTTAAAAAGCAACTACAACTACACTGCCAAACTGCTCTTAGTAACCTCTATTCTATTCTCCTGCTGGAAAGATGGTGAAAACTGATTTCTTCCTTGCATTTCCTTAGTCAGGTTTCTGAAAAAACAGTCATGATTTTCCAGTTTGCCTTTTTAAATCAATGATTTTCTAGTATTTCTTCTTACAATATGCTGCTTACTTGATGCAGAGATATGGACCAGTTATATCAACCATTCCTCAACAGCTCTCAAGATTCCAGTTCAACATGATTACTACTGCTTGAACTTTGCGAGGATTTGAGAAGTTTATACCTTTGTGATAGTACTTGATTCTAGGAGGCTATTGGCAAACATATAGCATGAGTATCAACATTACTTTAGAACAGACTTTTAATTTGGTTTAGACTGGATGTCCAGAAGTTGTGCTGTGTGGATCTCTAATCGTTGATGTTAAGATTTATATTGGACCCTTATCTTCATGGGTTTAGGTTATTTGCTAAGTAGATCTCTGTCTTATGATTTACAAGTTAAATAGTCACGATCCAGAATGATAGGTTGCTATGTGGCTGGAAGGGCTCAGCAGAATTTTCCCAGCAGCATTGAGTATACAGCCATTGTATGGGGTAGTAAGATGGGAAACAATGGTCCTATTTTGTCGTTGAAACCTTCATTTTGGTGTTATGTTTGTGATTTCTTGTACGTGGTTGTAACTTGTAAGCCCAAGATTTTTTGATTGAATCAAGAAGGGTCTTGCATTTCTCAAACTCGAAATCACCTAAATTAGAACATTGCTTCCAAAACAGAAACAAAATTGTAGCCATCTGGGGCCGCACCTTCTGGTTGCATTTAGACAAAAAAGATCCTGACTTTCTACAAATTTCCCATGCCTAGCATGGCTTGAAATCAACGAATCCTACGAATCCACTTTCCTCCGTGACGGTGTCTCAAAGAAGCTCCTAGCTGTTTCAAGATCATCCGTATCAGCATATGCTCCCATCATCGAAGTCAATGAAATAGCCTTCATCTCCGGCATTCGCGACTTCTCCAAACTCGGCATAGCCTGAAATCATAGAATTGCAAGAAACAATCTCTCTTTCGGGCATTAATATCAAACAACACTCTCGCCGACTTGACATCACCTATATTTACTTAATTAATCTACCATGTGATTCTATAATTCTCCGGCACACAAATCATAAGAGAATCTTGCAAGCATCATCTAACTTGCAAGTATTAGCTAAACCCACATCAAAAGAAGCCGGCATTTTCAAGCACATGATAAAAAGCGATTTGGCAACCACATAGATAGACTCAAATTTAGACTTTAAAATCTAAATTAATCCATTTAAATTTCAAACACAATAATATAAAATAATATAAACTATCTAAATATAATTTTAAAATTTAAATATTTTTATTTAGAAACTATTATATTATTATGCTGCGAGTCAAATTAATTTTTTTTACATAAGTTTACACGAGTTAACTCACAAAATTTTTATTTTTAATTTTGAGACTATGATAATTTCATATAAAATAAACTGAAGTTATAATAAAATTAAAAAAAATTATCAATTTAAAAAAAAAAACTTGATTCAATTATATTAATCTACCGAATTTGTAACATGAGTTAAATAATTTCATATAAAATAAACTGAAGCTATAATAAAATTAAAATAAATTATCAATTAAAAAAAAAAACTTGATTCAATTAGATTAATCTACCGAATTTGTAACATGAGTTATCAGACTAAGATAACTATAAAAAAATAAATTATAATAAATTATAAAATTTAATTTTTAATAAATTAAATATGTGAGGTATGAAACTAGAGAAAAAAATAATTTTTTTTAAAAAAATGAAAAATAAAAAACACTGTTCATAGAACAAAATGATGAAATAGAACTGAAATGTCTTGACAAGAATTTGATAAGAAAAACCAAAATATCTCAATATCACGAGAGACATACAATTTATTATGGCTTAATATATATTGGCGATTCTAGACGGATCCAAATAGAATTAACAACCTTTGTTTAAATTTAGCGGTGTGGTGGGATGCTAGCCATCGAAGTCTGTTGTTAATAATTGGATGATGTATTATTGCAAGTCTTAATTAATTATTTTCATTCAAGACGTGGGATTATTATTTTCTTTCCATCAATTCATTGGCCATAATTAATGAATATTATACTATATATCTACTTAACGTCTGCCTTCAAGGATTAGAAACAAAATAAAAAAAGAAAGAAGAAGAAGAAAGAGAAAAAATAATTTAAAAGGACCAAGTAGCAATGTGAATCAATTAATATTTCTTAAGTAAATTTTATCATGCAAATATGCTAATTTTCATGTTTAAAGAAGCAAGCTAACAAGAGAGGGACAGTAAGATACACGTGGATTAATTGGACTTGAATCATCAATGTCTACTTAACACTATGATTACGATAATTTGTATTGATTATCACTAATATCTAAACTAATTACAGTTTTATAACTCAAATTGCTCGAGGATCTACCAAATTTCGTCCTCCAACTTGGATAACAAAAGGTAATTACAACGCTAGTTGTTATAATTGTGAAATCTATTGCTAACTTGCTATCCACATCATGCTAATTGTGTGGGTTTGGCTCATCTCAGGCTATCAATCTCAATAGATCATGCGTGTTGATGCACCAATATATTTTTTAAAATCTAATTTCGGCCTAAGTTTTTCTAGGAGGTTTATATGTGATAATTCAACAATATTCTTAGAGTTGATAGAATGTATGGCCTTAATGAAATGGTTCTAGCTTACTTCTAGATTCGGCATCCTTAGAGATGGTTAAAAATAAAGTCCAAATAAATATTAGTTTTGTAAATTATTAAATTCAATATTTTTGAGTTCAATTACGTAATGGACCTAAACAGTCACGGGTTTAACAAGTTATCAAATCTAATATTCTTGAGTTTATTTATTTGTCAAGTTTAAGTGGATATGAGTTTGATGAGATGTTATATCCTCTACCTGTTGGCAATATCATGTAAAGCTAAAATAGGTATGAGTTTAACAATTATTATAGGCCCAATATTAGTTTGTTTTTATGAGTTTTAACATAAAATATTATTGTCAATAAATTTATCTCCATGCACCTCTATATGTATAAAAGTCTTATAAGAATCTACTATATTTCCATTACCATTAATATTTCATAAGGAATATTTATCTTTTATTAATATTTTATAAGATATATTTGTTTCTCATTTAATGTTGTGTGAGAGATATTATCTCTTATCAATGCTATTAGAAGAAAATAATTTTTCAACCTCTCTACTCCTGTAAAATAACATGTTTCATGAGCTATAAATACCTCTAAAATCATCAAAGATAAAAAGGGTTAACAACTTCTATTCTTTAAGTATTAATACTTTTAAATGTCAAAATATTTATCATATCAAAACAATAAGAAACACTCTTGTTCTTGAAACTTAAACTCATTATTTTATTTATTACAATCTCTTGCTTAAAAGTTATTGATTTTATCATCTCGAGAGTCTCTAAACCTCACTTAAAGGTATTATTTTGCATATGTTAAGCCTTTTACAACTAATCATTTACTTCTGGAGCTCTTCTTGAGCTCTGGAAAATAAAATATTAATATGAATATAGGATTACCTATTATGTAAACACTAAAAAATCTTATTCATAAGCATATTAAATTTTGAAACATCTATCACCT